AAACATTTACAACAATTCGATTAATGCACTCAAAGTTTGTTTTATCTATAAATCGTCTCTTTTGTGAGTATGCGTAAAGAGTTTATTGATATCACGCGTTCTGCCTTTTCTGCACTGTTTTTAAAAATGGCAATTACAGTTGCCAATGAGAGGTTAAGTGTTAATTAGTAATGGCTTCCTAGAAGCTCTGCACATTTCACGAATTATTATAAGAAACCATTCAAACACTCATATGAAACCTTAAGTGAGATATTATACTATATAAAATCAACAGTGTTTCTACTTATATTCCAAAATAAAATCCGATTTGAAGAATATATAGAAAACGACATAGTATCAGAGTTTTGGTGATATCTAAGCGAAATTCAATTGAATTCTATAAAAATCTGCAAAGAAAAAATATTGGAAAATTACTGTAAAATAATTGGTGATCAACATTTATGTTATAAACAGGCAGACTGTTTACAGCGCATTTCTGAAAGATTCATCATTCGCTGTTTTTGTCTTATAAAAATCGGAACAGCTCATTTATTTCATTCTATGATTGTCTCGAGGCTCTTCAAGTAATTCTTATAGAAACAAGTTCATTAGGTTTCTAAAACTAAACATTCGTAGAAAACGTGTCGAAGCCATCGAGTAGATTTTGATGGTTCTATTCTATCTTATTCTACTCTATAATCGGATCAGAATACAAGTTTCAAAATGTAAAGCATATACTGATAAAAGTTGAATATTGCTTGAACTCTCTATAGCAAAACAGGAGTTTGCACGAGTTTTTAGAAAATTGCTTCTTTTGTCATTCAACGCTTCTGTTGATGAAATGACTCATCGACTTATGCGTCTATTTATATTGAAGGGAGAGGATAGAGAGAGCAAATTCTATTGCACAGAACGAGAACAATATAATACTTGAGATATATGAGATATGAAAAGAGACGGGTAGCATAGAAAGAGAGATCAACGAGTGCGACAGAAAAGAAAAAAACTTTGTTATTTAGTGCTGTCAGATCTACGCAAAAAGTCTTGGTATCTATTTTAGCTATAGATTTAATCGCTCATACATCAATCATAATCAGTAAGTTGATCGTTGTTTTATGCGTTATGGTTTTATCTATTTTGAGCTGATTTTTGTTGAGAAAATCATCACTTTCTATAAATTCTTATTTATAATTTTTCCTTAGATATTTATTGACTTGATAATGTCATCCACGTTGTTTTCAACTTCATGTTTTATCAGAACGAAGCTATGTCGTCTCTGTATTTATATTGATGATGATTCCAATGAACTTTCTGTTGGCACCAACAATAGTATACTGCTGAGAGCCGATACTTGTGAAGCACCATCGAGTGCGTTCCAAATTTCACGTTCGATTCGACTTCATTTTGAATCATTGATTGAAGAAAAGAAAAATGCTTCTACTCTTGATAATGATACAATACCACGAACAATTCTTCTCAATAATATACTTAATATTAAATTGACAGCAAAATCATCGAACGAACCCAATTCTTCATCACTATTGCAGTATTTCTCATGGCATTCTTCTAAACAAATCAGTAAAAATCATGAAACAACTTCGTCCGAATCGATTCAAATTGATCTCAGTTATGTTCATATTTCTGAATCATTCATCTGGACAGTGAAAAGGCTACAACTCGAAATGGATTCCGAAGCTGCTCATCAATTCTCTTTGATATCAACTGAATACTTGTCGAAATTAAAACATCGACCTCGACATCTCTTAGCTTTTGTCAATCCTCATTCTGGCAAAGGTGTGAGCAAATATAGACGATTATTTTTCACTTGTTGATCATTCAATAATCTTATTTTAGGTAAAGGATCCTCTGTATACGAGAAAAAAGTATTACCTTTATTTGAAGAAGCCAATATAAATGTAAAAACGATCTATACAACATGTGCCAATCATGCACGAGATTATATTAGTGAACAATCACTCGATGATTATGATGGTCTTGTATCTGTCGGTGGCGATGGGATGTTCTCAGAATTGTGTCATGGTCTTCTACTCAAAACGGCAAAACAAGCTAAACTGGATATGAATGATCCAAATGTTAATCTAATGCGGCCTAATTTACGTATAGGCGTCATTCCAGCTGGATCTACGGATGCAATTGTTTTTGGTACTACTGGTTACAATGATCCCATTACAAGTGCTTTACAAATTATCGTCGGTGAATCTGTTCTCATCGACATAGCCACAGTAGGAATATTCATTTTGAATGTGTACATATTTACTCAATCATGATGTTAATTAGGTACACAATGAACATGGCTTTGTACGTTTAATGGCAACAATGTTTTCCTACGGCTTTTTCGGTAATATTATTCAACAATCTGATAATTGGCGACTTTTTGGTCCATTGCGCTATGATTTGGCTGGTTTTTGTCAATTTCTTCTCAACAGTTCATATCATACAGAATTGATTATCACTCAACCGCCTGAGAAATGCAATTCAAAAATATTGATAAATAATATTGATCGATATTTATTTGGTAATTCCGTAAAACGACAAGATCCACTTTGCAAACAAGATGGTGAAAAATCTCCCGACAATCAAACAATCAATGATGTCCAGTCGCCTTTATCCCGACAGATCAAACGTGAAGGTCAATATAGAACAATCAATTGTCTCAACATGCCTTGTCGTTGTGAAAAAAGCAAATATGGAATGTCTCCATCTGTTCACATAGGTATGATTGCTTGAAAAAGAATTTATTTCTTCATGTACCATATCTGTTTGACGAGTGATATCTTTTCCTTCTTTAAGAATTTTTTTGCGTTCATTTATAGTTTACTTTTCAGATTTGATGAGAACTAGGATGTTAAAGGAATAGTTTTTTTTTTCATATTTTAGGTGATGGATCATTCGATGTTGTTCTAGTGAAAAGTTCATGGCGTTTGGATTTTTTTCGTTTTCTTCATCATGTAGCTAAGGACGGTCGAACAATTGATGATTTGTCAAATGTTGAACGTTATCGTGCTACTGAAGTTATTATTCGTCCAACTATTAATCGACGAAATAGGTTAGGTAATTGGGCATGCGATGGAGAATTGATCACTGCCAATGAAGTCAGAATTCGTGCTCACTCTCAAGTACTCAATCTATTTGCATCGGGTATTCGTCTTGATCAAATCAAGAAAATAAATGAAGAAGTATCCAAGTGATAATTTATTTTCAATGTTACGAATCAAAATATACATACGAATGTCACTGAAAGAAAAATTTATATTCTAAAGAATGAATATATGTATTTATTGTCATTTATAAGATAATTCTTGATTAGAATATAAGTATTATCCTACATTTTTTAATTATTTATTCTATTTAGATTTATTCTATCTAACATGTGTTTAATATCATCTATATTTCTTGTTAATGAATTTTGTAAATTAATCTCGAGAATTATTCGTAAAAGTTATATGAATCATAAAAATATGATGATTCATCAATGAATGATTTAATTGCAGATACAGAATTATTTTTCAAATAAAAAACAATTATCTCACCGTATTCAATACATATCTAAAACGTATAACAAGTTGTAAATTATTAATTATTCTACTTGTTTTCTTTTTTTATTTTAACTTTTATTGTTATGTCTTGTTGTAAATCTGTTGAAGTTCTCTGTTTTCAAAAAAAAAACAAAAGAACAAATATGAAAAAATTATCTGACATGCACATTAAGAATACAATTGAAATGTATAAAATCTTAAAAATATTTTATTACTGGACGATATTTGAGTATAAATTCTTTTACATCCTTTATTATTTCGATCAGTAATTAATTGTTGACAATCAGATGTTTCTAAATAAATATTAATATTAATATTTTGATGTTGTTGTTTTTTATTAAATAAATAATAATATTCTTTTTACGATAAAGATTAACTCTTCTATATTCAGATGGAAAACTAGATGATGATGTGGCATTGATATATTAATAACCTAAATCAACTTGTTCAACATTAACAATTGTTAAATGTGATAGAATACAATCAGTACAAATTAACTTTTCTGATATTGTTACTTCAATTAAATATTTTTGTGAATTTCAAATATCTGTATTATATTTTGTATTTGGAAAAATAGCACTTTGTTCTTTACACTAACTTAACAAAAACAAACAAAAAGGGGTGTGGATGTTGGTGTGAGTACATTAGGATAAGACCCATACCCACACCCTTTTTTTAATTCTGATAAAGCAACAATTCAATCATCAGATAAACAAATTAATAAAACAATATGTTTGTCGTCATTTGTAATAAGAGAAAAAAGATAAAATAAAGGAGAATTTAATGATAATGTGCATTCATTATCAACATATGATATTCTTGATTAAATAATATTCAATGTTTAAGTCAGTAATGTCTAAAAATTTATTTCTAACTTATGATTCATTCTTTGTTTTCTAGTTTATTTATCTTTTCTTTATGCTGTTTCGTTCATAAATACAAAGAAAAGAGATAATCTTTGGCATGCTGAAAATGGATAGGTCAAATAAGCAGAGAATGTGATCAATAATAACTGTTTTTGATCTAAAGATATAGTGAAATGAAGTTGAATTACACAATCAATACATTTCCAAAAAATCGAAAACATAGAGTTTTGAGTTGAAATTTTATTTATAGGCATACAGGCTCGATTATTGTGTCATTCTATGATGAACCAGTTTTTTTTTGGAAAATAAATATCTGTAGAAAGACATGTTTGTTTAGATTGAAACTTTCAACAATATCTTACGACCATCGAATCTATCTCTACACAGAATTTGAAGCCGAAATTCAATGTTTTGACTTTTCTCGGTAGTACCTCGTCTTTATTAAACATTTCATTAGAATGACCATAACTATTCATGAGTAGACCATAGATCTAAATTATGTAAAACTTATGTCAGTCTTGCCGAAATCTACTCATAGCCATAATATGAAATCGAACGCTTTATATATTCATATTTTAATCAATCATTGAATTTACCTCTTAAAACTTGTAAAAGAACATCATAAAATGATAGTCGATGGCTATGCGCTGCAAGATCTTCTATGTTCAAAATCCATTTTTTTTCTCGACTAACTTACTATATCATTCATTTTATTCGATTCTAATTGAGTCAAGTCAAAAACTACTGAATAGCTCCAACTCGTATGGTTGTCCTACTACGCCATGAAACGATGACTTTACAAATCCCGTACAACTGATTGAAAGTCTACAGAACTAGAGGTGCAACATTATCATCAGATGATAAATTGACTTCTCAACAAAAACAATACGTACAAGAATTCTTATCATTCAGCTGTACATTATAGAATACGACAAATAAAAATCAATTAGATAAAAATTAGATTAAAACTGTAATGGCGAAGCGTTGGCATTTCATCATTGTCGCTACTCAGCCATGTGAAATATGACGTGTCATCAAGTAATTGCACAATCATGAAAAAAAACTATGACATAGAACAAATATAAACACCTAAAATCAGAAGAAAAATTTCAAACGTACGCACTATAGAACATACACGCATTTCAACGATTCTACAATGGCTGAAAAAATTAAACCGTCTCTTTATACATTACCGACAGAACTTATCTATCGAATTCTTAACTATCTTGATGATTTCAATCTTTTTTGCACAATGCGAAATGTCTGTACACGTATTAATACAATCATGGACAGCTATCGTCGATACAAGGTAAACTTTTTCTTTATCTTAACGTCATATTTTCGTTATATTCAAAACATTATTCATTTTCACAAGATATTCTATCTCTGTTTGTTATACATTGAAAACATTAATCTAATTTCTGGAAGTGTAACATCTAAAGAATGTTTTTATGCAATCTATGATAGTTAAGATGATTCACATAACTATACCATTCTTCATAAAAATAAACTGATCAGTACAGTGTTGACGCAAGGAGATGAAAAGAAAAATTCTACCTTTGGCGTGCGCACCAACTCTTTTTTTCAAACCAGAACTCCTGAAAAGACTTAGGAAACTTACTATAAAATTATACATTCATTATAATGATCTATATATACATCAGGCAATATCAATGAATACTATTCTCCTGAAAAATATGATATAGCATAAGTTTCCATAAATTCCATTCGATAATGGATATTTAAAAAAGTTTCTGCAATTTAAATGTTCAGTCGTGAGAGTCATCATTAACACTTTTGATCTGTTTGACTTTTTTAACGTTTTACACAGACACTCACCACACTTCAACTGTGCAATAATAAAATGGATCTACCAGGAGCAATACATCTTGCTAATACTCTCAAACAAAACAAAGTAACATCCTACACTTGCTTCTCTCATTCTATTATCTATTCACTCCTTATCAGACAGTCATTACCCTTGATATTGGAGTCAATCAAATTGATGATCAAGCGACATACTATCTTGCCGATGCTTTAAGGCAAAATCAAGTAGTACTTCTCTCCTCTTTCTTTCCTTGAATCAACCGCTTACTATTTTACACAGACACTTATCAAACTGAACCTCCAACTCAATCAAATCGGTCCACAAGGAGCAGAATATCTTGCTAATAGTTTGCGACAAAATCAAGTAACACTCTCTCATTCTATCGCCTTGTTCTCGTGCTTACTGACTATTTTATACAGACATTGACCAGACTGAATCTTCATTACAATCAAATTGGTGATGAAGGAACAAAACATCTTGCCGATGCTCTCCAACAAAATAAAGTAGTATTTCCTTTCTTCTCAGTTCGATATCCACTGATTATGTGATACAGACAATCACTAGGTTGAACCTCATACATAATCAAATTGGTGAAAAAGGTGCATATTATCTTGCCAACGTTCTGCAACAAAATCAGGTAACATCTATTGATCCTGCCTTCTCATTCTCTTGCTCTTACATTATTGTACACAGACACTGACCACACTCTATATTGCAGAAAATCAAATCGGTGATCAAGGAGCACAATATCTCGCTAACGCTCTGCAAATAAATCGAGTAACATTCATCTCATCTTTTCACGTTTTTACTTATTTACTGTTGTACACAGACACTCACCATACTTTACGTCGCACAAAATCAAATTGGTGATGAAGGAGCGCAACATTTTGCTAATGCTCTGCAACAAAATCAAGTAACAGTTATAGATTTCACATTTTCAATCTCTTAATCACTCTTTAACACAGACACTAACTACACTAAGCCTAAAATCAAATCAAATTGGCGATCAAGGAGCAAACCATCTTGCAAATGCTCTAGTCCAAAACAAAGTAATACTTGTTTCGTTTGCTTCTTTTCATTCTACCATTGATTTACTATTTCACATAGACACTTACCACATTGAATCTTAAATGGAATCAAATTGGTGATCAAGGAGGATGCCATCTTGCAAATGCTCTTCGTCAAAACAAAGTAACACTTATTCTATTGTCTTCTTTTCATTCTACTATTTACTTTATATTTCACATAGACACTCTTCTTTCTGGACATCCGATTCAATAATATGAATGACGATGGAAGAGAGCAGCTTTTAGAAATACGAAAAGATTATCCAAGACTCAAACTAATTTTATAAGAATAAGACGAACAGGTGGACAGTTATGTATAATCACGATTTTGACTTTTTATTGTGAAAGTGTTTATTATATGATATTCATTAAATTTATGAATAATATATTCTATTTACAAATACTAATGATAAGTTAAATGTTATATTCTATGTTTCGCTCACTTAACCATAGAAGGAAACGATAGGAACAAAAAGAAGAAGGGTAATAATTAATCTGCAATGCGAAAGTGTTGGTACAAAATGTTTGCTTATTTTGCGAGCATTTCTAAACAGTTTTTGATAGCCCAAATCAGTCAGTTACAACCAGAATTTTGTGTTCTTTGGCAATAGAGTTGACATTATCACACAATACAAATTGCAAAAACTAAGAATTGGAGTAAATTCCCTACTTTGCTTGGTACAGATATCATTTTCAACATTTTGAAAAATTTTCCTGTAGTTGAGAGAGTTTCAATAAAAAGAAAGTTCTCTACATAGACATTCGAAAAGACTACAAAATTCTACTTCTAATTGTCTGATTTTTCTTACTCTCCAAGATTGCTTCGAAGTGTCCAAAAGATGAGTGAACATTTTGTGCTCATGAGTGTTGCCTAATATGATGTTGATCGTTGGCAGTAGTATGAAAATTTCAATCATTCAAAAAATTTACCATGTACCACACTTGTTTGCTGTTATTATTGATTCTTCCTATCGATTAAATGATCAAGAATGGGCAAAACAATTCACTAAAGTAATTTTACTATGGGTTTTTTTCACAACCAGATTCACGTTTTTAACTCTTCGTAAAGATGAAAAATTTTATTAGGTATGAGAATCACTTACTTTATGCTAGGGTGTAGATCTGGGTGAGGATGAGATCTATATTGTAATCCGCATCCTATACCTTCATCCTTATTACGTATTCCGAGAAGAATATGTATATGATGTAAAATTATGTGAAAAATTTTAACTTTTCAAAGACGCTGCGAAAACAAAGATTTCTTATAGATCTCCCTGTCAGAAAAACCTGTGATTCAAAATAATCAATAATCAAGTGCGCAAACCTTATCTCTCTAAATTAACCATATAAAAAGTAGTCAAACTAATGAAAGCATAAACAAGTCATTGAATCATCTGAACGAATATATGTCAGTGAGAGTATCTAGCAGTATCGAGAACAAATATTTCCAGGATGCTGTACGAGAATCAAGATGAGAAAAGAGTCTGGTGTAAATCACGGGTGTTAATGTGCCTGTAAGACTTATCTTCATCTTACATCTACACCCACAAAAAAAGATGATAATTATAACAAAATACAAGTATCAATGAACTTCTCGGTGGAAACTTTACGCCTTCGAAGAATGGTCACAAATGTGTTTGGCATACCTCGGTAGTTAACTTGAAACTACCCATTATGGCATCCAGCCAAGTGATTTTTGCAGGCACAAATGACAACAAAAGCGACTACTCTTCCATAATATCTGTGACATTATCTAAATTATAAACATGAAGTATAAGAAACGTTGTAGTACTCGTCTATCACTACTATACGCATATTAATAATTCGCGAAGGTTATACTTGATGTTGAAACATACCCTTATATTTATACTCACATTGACATCAAGTTCCACTGATGTTTCTTGTATGTTTCTCCTTTATCATCAATATATTGTGCTTGTTGTGGATGTGAGATTGGAGTGTGGTAGAGGTTGGGTGTGTATGTCAATGTCACTGTTAATGCTCTCTACATTCTGGCCCTGTTTTAAGCATTCAATGAATTTTAAAAACTTACGTTGACAGTTTTTGCTAGAAGATAAATGCCATACTTTGTATTTTCGCCTTCTCTTTGCAACATGAATATAATTTTTCCTGTTGACGTTAAAAAGTATTAAATCTTTTCTCCGTGAAGAAGTGTTAAATAGCAGTAAAACACGCATAAATATGCTCGGATATAACAAAATATACTGCATATTCTTGACTTCACTATTGATCTTGAAGAATGATACGTATAACTTGTTCTTACAATAGAAAACGCAAGTAAGCATTTTCTTTCTTTCTTCGACAAACTTCATTTCTCGTCAAAATAATACACCAAGGTTTATTTTATTTTGTGATATAACTATACAGCTGTTAAGTGAAATTATTTAACATGATAATTGACATAGGTTTGTGAAACAATGTATAAGGCATCTATGTTAACGCATACATGATAACGTTGACTATTTTTTTGTTAAACATACTGAACTTATAATTCTTCTATTCTCTCGTCATTATTCTAAATGTGTCTGACCGTCGATCCTTTATTGTCAATAAACGATATATTCATGATGGTCTTATCCTAAATAGAGCCTCTATTTGTAAGTGATGGATGGGGCATATATTTTTCTGCCATAATAAAATTTTACATAAAAATATTTGTTACATAATTAATTAATAATAATTAAAAAGTATATGCTATATGAGTCATCTTTTGCGCACTTGAAAACACCACAAGAAGCTCTAGCACAAGGTGAGAGTTTTGCGGCTTCTGCTTTATTTACAATTCGTTTGTTATAGTGATTATTAACTCTATTAATTTTTTCTGAATCATCATCTGGCGATACACCGTTACTTTGAGCACATTGATTATAACTATTTTCAGATATTGATGATGACATTGAGACTTTAGTTTCATACTTTTTTGCCCTTTAATAATATTAGCTTCGTACAAGAGACATAGCAAATCTGTTTGAATTCGAATTCGAATTGATATACCCAGGTCAGCTAATCTATCAACATGTTTTGAACGAGGCATCTTTGCCACCTAGTTATTTTTTGCTGTAGCTGATGGAACTGCTCGTTCCTGTTTTGTTTTTAAATAGTATCACTAGTTGTTCGACCTGTCGATTTAGATTTTGACTTGCATTGCAGAATAGTGTTGAAGCCTGACATTTGCTATTGATTTGTTGGTGTAAAAACGTAACTTGAATATACCACTAATATTTCAAAGAATTATCAAGAATATTGTGAATAAACTTTAGCTGACGTGAATGAAAGAACGATGATAATGACAATCACTACATAACAACAAATAATAATGAAATTCAAAATGAGTGCTATTCTCTCTAACAATTGAAACAATTAATAAAACGAAGAAACAAGTCGAGCTAACATGAGTTTTCTTTAATGTCTCGATATCTCCTCATTAAAATATTAGATGTTGAAAACTATTCCTTGCATGGCATTCCTGTTCTTTTCATTATTGGTCAATCTAAGCCACTTGCATGGACAATTTAGCAGAACAAAAATGAGTTACTAATAAATTTCATTATGCTCTGAATTTGTAATGAAGAAAAATTCTAAAAAAATAATTTGGTCAGGACAGGTGTTGAAGAGATTTCTTACTAGACTTGACTATCGTTCAAGACGTTTCAGACTAATCAAGTCACTTATTTTTGATCAATGTCTTAGTGCCTAGCAAACAAAAAAGTGTCTTCCTGCTATTTGGACTGGTAAAACTGGCATCAATCTATTGTTCAGGTATGGCTCGAAGTCAAGATATCCATCAAGTATTAAATACTGTTAGGCTAGATATTGCAATGCACATTTTGTCTACATTATTATTCTTTTTCTGCTCCACGAACTAATCTCGATAGGGCAGATAGACAAATGGACTGGACGTGACGAGTTTCAAGGACATTTCGGACCAGTGTAGCCGTCGTTGCAGAACATTTCTTGTCAAGATATCTAGTCACACAGGGTGTGACGGTGAGGTGTGCGTGTGGATTAAGAAAAGAGACACTCACATCCAATCAGTCTCACACCCCTTGTCTACCTAATGACAAATAACTAATGAATTTCAGTTTTTGGATTCATTTTGGATGCTTGTATATTCGATTCAAATTTAAATCACAATTGGATATCTTTTTATTTAGTTTTTTTCTGAAGTTGGTTAATACTCTTCTTTTCAACTGTATTTTACGTGGATCCTGAAACTACTCTTCAGTTTCATCCTCACTCTTGAACTCTCAATGTAGATTCTTCTCTCCTTTTTTTTTGTTATTCAGAAAATTTCATCAAGCATAGTGATAAAGATGGCTGACAAAAGGTGAAAGAAACACACTGTTTCATAAATTGTTTTCTTAAGAATTCGAAAAAAAAAAATACATTTTAATAATGATTCATCATTGTCTTTGTAGTAAATCGACCATGTATATTATGTTTTTGTCCGTTTTCACGATAAAATGCAATTTCTACTGATGATATTTTTTTCACATTTGCATCGTTGATCGACGGGTACATTTTGCAATGCTTGTTCGATATGTCGACCACAACCTGAAAAAAAAAGAAACGATGGCCTCGAGTAACTTGTTGCTGGTAGATTGGAAACAAATATGGAATTACCTGCCCATGTGGGCTTGCCACATGTAGAACAAGTGGTTTGTCTGCACATTTTTGTCAAAAATCTAAAAGACTGTTCGAATACGTATGTTGCAGAGCAAACGATAGAAAATGATAAGATTGTGTTTTGATTATACCCGTTCTTCGTTTGCAAAAACAAATGCAACAGAAGAGAAGGAAAAGAAAAAAGAATAAGGCTGAGTAAATATAACAGGCATATAAATATTTTTTTCTTTTCCATGTACACGTGTCGCCAAGAGGTAGGGAGACACACATATTCTCTCATAAATACAACTTTTTATATTGACGACGCTTGCGTGATCATATGCACATAGAACGAGGAGAAAATAAGAAAGAAAACAATCTATTACTCAATTTAGGCTAAAAAAAATAGCTTGAGTCGATTTTTCGAGGACGTCATTAGTCAGTGTCTGAAATTTTTAAGAACTCGTTTTGTTATTTACATAGACATTTAAAAACACTGTATGTAGGAGCAGACTAGAAGTTGAAAAAAAGCAAAAATCTAATTCATGAGAAACTGCTGATAATGGTGACATCTAGTGTGCAAAATATTTTCCAGTCAATAATTCCATTTCAAACAGGGAAAACATCTAAAATCGAGAGTGAAGCAACATTGGGTGTGGATGGGAGTGTGAATGCTAATGTCAGTTAGAGTGAACAGAAGACCGATACCGACATTCACACCTCAAGATTCAACTATTTCACATAAACCCGAAGTAATTTTCGAAAGTGTAATTGATGTATTTTCGTTTGCAAAAGTCACTTTGTGAATAAAGGAAAACCTCTAACAGTGAAAGAAGGTGTTGAAATTCAAGCACAAACTGATAGAGGTCTATATAGATGCTTCGTATTCCTCAAATCGATACAAAAAAAAACAGACGGGTACAATCATTTGTTGTGCAGATAATACTATTGGCATTGTTGAACATTCAGTTGAATTGAATGTTACAATAACTTCAACATTAAAGATACTATCCAAAGATCTTGAAATTTTACTAGTTCAAGATACAGTTATGCAATGTTGATGTTCAAGGTCATCTATTACCGAAAATAAATTGGACGCATAGAAATGAAAAATTTATTGAATTAAATGAGAAACATATCTAGTCTGATGATTAATATTATTAATGAACAATTCATGATGTTGAAATTAAAGATGAAAATAATATATTCTTTTGCAATGCATAATGAATTTGTTAAAGTTACAAGTAAAGCTCAATATTTTTGTTTAATTATGTTACTTTACTAAATAACTTCTTCGTTTTTTTAATATTGAGTTACATCAAGTATACTACTAGCTACCATAAATGATGCAATATAATAACATGCTTTAAAAAAACGGTAAAGCGCTTAAATTAAATGAAAATAAGCTGATGTCACTAGTAATATTATTGTTAAAGCTAAATAAAAATTTGTTAAAATAGCTTGTGATGTTGTAAGAACTGTTGCATCATCAATTACTTTTTCGGATATATGATTTAGTTTATCAAAACCAACAATAATAACTCGTTATTTTTTTTGATATCGAAATAAAAGCATTGGCAAAATAAAAAATTCAATCGAAATATCGATTAATGAATTAATCTTTAAAAAAAGATAAATTTAATCGATATGGATAAATATCGTGCATTTATTACTAATGATCAGCAAGAATACAATTTAAATATTCTTGTTCACAATCACTTAATGTAATTTGACTAAAGAATAATGAAATATTGATTTTACTTCGTCATAATATTGAGATTATTGATAAAGTTGACTCCGACATTCAAAATACTCTTTTTTGTTTGGACATATTGATATTGATGATTAGACAAGTTCTACAATGCAAATAGCAAATATTGTTGGACTAGCTGAAAGAAAAATTATTTCAACACATAAAAGTTCATTTTAACGAAGAAAAGAATGACTAGATTGATTTATTAAGAAAAAACACGTGAAACAGTGTATTAATAAGTGATAATGAATGAAGAAAGAAAATTATTTAGAGACTTAAACAATCATTTAAATGTGAACTTGGATTGTCAGTTTCAAACTTATCTTAATCTTATTTAAAAGAATGTATATCAAACGTTGAGAAACGTTGAGCTTTTCAAGAAATTCAAGAAATATAAATCTGTGCCTTATTGTTGAGTATTCATTAGGTTATGGCTAGAAAATAGAGGTTCAATCATAATTGAGTTTAGTATCGGAAACTAAATTAATTCCAGTATATTTAAACTATTTTATGAACGCTATTATCTCCTTAAAAATTTACCCCTGATTTATGTTAGATGTAGCTATTAGTTTTAATAGTATTTTATAAGATTCGAATCACGTTTCCATTGTTCATATGAGACTTTAGTAGACCTCATTGTCGATTGAATTCGGCAAGAAGCCAGAGAAAACTCTTTTAAGAATAAATGAAGTTCACGACAATGTTTTCAGCACATATAAATGGTTTATTGAATTTTTTTTGCAAATCCGACAGATGATATTAGTTTTGATTGAAATTCTAATTTTTCTAATCAAAACACTTTGACTTTGGAAACTCCATGATTTTTTATACAGGGTTGTCTTATTACTGGAACCAATCGAATTTTTAAAACTTCACACTCGATATCTGTTTAAAAAGAATATGATTTCTAATCAACCTATACCGTTGATCAATCGACTCAAGACCAAGAGTATGCCGATGAACTAAATATTTAATATTTATATGATTAGAAAAGAAATAATTCTGTAATGGATGTGACTTATTATCCATTTCAAAAAAGAAAAACGTGGCTTGTTTTTTGAAATGGATAATATTTAGTTGTATTTACGAAAATTTTCGACGTTTTTGTTGTACATAAAGAGATTTAAAATCTTGGTAATCCGTCCGTTTTTACTCGTGGATTAATTTCTGTTAAAATACTTTGAATGTATCTGCGAAACATCTGTACATTTTAAGAAACTTTGATTATTCGCAAACAAATCTTATTTTTGTATGCTCCATTACTTCTATCTTTTATTTGATATAATAGAGAAAGAATGCAATACTTGACATATGACACACATAGAATAATCAAATTCAATTCGACTAAAAGAAATCAATTTATCTAAAATTTTACTCAAAGGAAAATTCAGTTGCTTTAATGACTCATCGTCTTCACACAAATCGAACATGAATGTTGAATCAAACTATAAATTCGCATACATCATAGAAATAATATTCACAATTTTCAATTAATTCATCACAGTTTCGTATAAAGAGCATACATTTGTTTTTTTTTGAGTTGGTTTATGATTATTCCAGACATATATATTCTGATGTTTTTAATGTAAAGCAATGAGATCAATATAGCTGTTATTTCATTAAATGTATTCAAAATAAGTTCCAGTTTCATAGGGTGAATGTGGGCGTGGATAAGTATGGATGTAACTGTCGGTCTTACGCTTCTTGTCACCTATTCCAACACTCATATCAACATCCTTACCTTCACTCATACTCATACATTTACAACCCATACCCTCATCAATTTTAAGAAATTTTTAATCGTAGTCTTTTTTTGTTCATGAGTAACATGGAGAATAATAAAATAAAATCGGTGCAGCATCATTATTTCACAAATGTGGATAACACTCAAGTGAAGTATGCGTGTAACAAGATCATAGCATGAAACTTTTTCTTTGTTTTTCTTCAGATATGGTTTTGAATCAATTAAATTTCTAATTATTTGTAATAAATATAACACAAATATCGAAAATGTGGGTATGTACTGATATAACAAATACACATTTATATAATAAGCATTTCATACAGACACGAGAAGTGAATCTAGATTCATTGATCAATGGGAATAAACTTTTACAAAGTTCTTCAAGTAATACGAGTAAAAAGAATAGAATTGTATCTCGAGGTGCAAATCAAAAGGGAACACATACTGATTATAGTGCGTTTGTTGAACATTCATCCATTGTTCAGCAAATTAATATGACTATTTAGTCAAATAATTTTTGAACCTAGTAGTTTGATAGAATGGATATAATTCATTGATAAGTGTAAGAAAAGATGACTTAATCAATTAATATATCAATCAAACATACAGGTCAATCATTGGACATAGATTTTACTGGATTGTGATTCTGAAGAATGATGTGATTTTTGTTTGAAAAAAAATACGCGAAAAGAAATGACACTTCTGTTAGAGGGAGTAATGTGTAGACATAGCAAAAGAATTTAAAATTTAACATTGCGACACTTTTTATTTTATTGACAGAAGTCGCATGAGTCATTTAAATATTTGACGAATGAAAATTTTGATGTATGGTAGGAAAAAACCAAGTAACGTATTTGATCAGGAATATGCATATATATATATTTTTTTTTTTTTTTTGTAAAACAGTTTAAAACGTTAATAAATAGAAATTAATCTATATGGCAACCTCTGATACAACACCTTATACATTACTTGATGTCCCTGAAGATATCGACTACGTGAAATTACGAACAGTCTATCGGAAAAAAATTCATGAACATCTACAAAAGAAAATTTCAGCCATCAATTTCCGTCGTATTTGTCGTGCGTATGAAACATTATCTGACTTTGATAAACGTAATCTTTATGATTCACAAAAACAATGGGTTTCTGAACTGCCAATCAATAAATATACTCCACAACAATTGGCCGCTGAACCAGATCTAATACGTGATTTAAAACAACGACTACGCAATGCTAATTTAACAGAACTTAATGCTCAAGATCCTGTAACAGGTCATACGACACTTTATACTGCAGCTCGTGCTGGTAATGTAGAAGCAGTAAAATTTTTAACTGAACAAGGAGCAGAACCTGATTTATCACAACGTACAAAAAGTACTGCATTACATGTTGCTGCTTTTTATGGACATGCTGATGTTGTTCGTTGTCTGTTGGAAAGTGGAGCCGATTATCGAATAAAAAATTCGTGTGGTAATACAGCTGAAAACGAAGCATATAATGATGACGTAAATAAAGTATTTATTGAACTCAAACAAATTCCTTACATTCGAGTAGCTGCAAACGAACTTGATTGGTTTTTTAAGAACGGTTTAACACAGCATCAAGATACAGAATATTTTGCTCAACGTCAAACACTATTACATTGTGCTAGTAAAAAAGGTTATTGTGAATTAGTACATTGGCTTGTAGAACAACGTCAGGCTAATATAGATCTTGTTGATTTCAATGGAAATACTGCTTTACATCTTGCTGCTTATGGTGGTCATACAACTGTTGTCGATTATCTACTTAAGTGTGGTTGTGATTCGACTGTTAAAAATCGATGGGGTACAACGGCTGAAGAAGAAGGCATTAAGCATGGTAATAGTATTACTAATATTTTTAAAAATATACGTGAACGTGACATGTTTGATATGGCACGAACTGGTGTAGATTGGTGGTTTTATTATTATTTTGATAGTGATTCAAAAGATATGATTGATTCTAATGGTATAAGTTTATTATATCATGCTTGCCGTTTTGGACAATATACTGTTGCAAAATGGTTATTAGAACATGGAGCTAATGTTAATCTTCAAATGACAACGAAACCAAGGAGTACTCCATTACATGTAGCAAAATATCGTGGTCATGTTTTAATTGTCGAACTTCTACTTGAATATGGTGCAGATGTCAATATTAAAAATGATTTTGGAGCAAATGTCTTCGAAGAAGACATATCGGAAGAAGTAGATGAAAACAAATCGAGTAACATTAAAGAAATCTTACTACAATATCAACGTAATTTAACAAGTGATAAGTTGATTGATATACATGTCTATGAAGATGATGGTGATGGAGAGGAACCGATTGTAAAAATCAAACTTGAACTTAGATCCAATCATCAGGATCTATTAACAGCATTATCTAATGTTTCAGGTGATCAATATCCTTATTTTTCTATTGCTCGACGTGCACTTATCTTCAAAGAAAAGGATACAACAATTATATCAGCTGTAGGTTGTTCACGATATGTTTCTTCAAAATTTATTGATACACCAATCCGTCTGATCCGTCACAAAACATTACCAAATGGATATAACAGTAATCAATCAATTCATGAAGAGTCTAAATTAGATCTTCGAAATTTCAGTAAAAAGTTCGATTCTCAATGTAAAACAAATTCATTTTCATTGAAAGCTCCTCTAACAGAGAAAAAAAACATTCAAATTGATAATTTAATGTTCAGCTTCTCTGAAAGTTCTATAAAAAATGACATTGAATTTAAAATAGATACACTTTTTACACCAGACCCTGAAATATTTAACATACTTGGATGTATTTGCCTTTTTAAAATTACAATTAATCAATCTCCTACTACATTTCTTGAATTACCCGAGGTATCAATGGTTAATGAGCGCGAAGCTCGTTTATACACGTTAGCTACACCTTCACCTTACTGGTTTAGTTCTCACACTCGTCGAACTCGTCTACCTGTGATTATTGGTTTTCATGCATTCGTTCGTTATGTTAGTATCATTCCAAATCATCTTGTCCTACCAGCAGATATGTTTATTGCAGCTACTCTTGAACAACCATTGAAATTACGAGATAATCCTGTACCCTGTAGATATTTAGTTCTTCGAAAACATAATCCTAGCATATTTCCACACATAGTTTATCATGGAACAGCCATTAATGTCATTCGATCTATCGTTCATGATGGACTAGTCATACCAGGTACGGTAACAGCCAGTGGAAAACGTATTAATCCACCAAAAAACCATTTTGCACGTGAAAGCACATATTTTGGGGTTCCTGATTTTGCTGCTGCTGTTTTTCTAAGTCCGAGTGTGTATTATAGCTCGGATCCAACATATGCAATATCATTCTCTCATCGCGATCAACAACTGATACCTGTATTAGAATGTAGTGTCAAAAATGAAAGCTATATTACTTATCCTGGCACTGTAGGAGGCTATACAAAGCATCCAGGCGATGATTTAAATGCTCTGGAATGGCGAGTTAATGATCCAAAAAATATCGAAATCAATGCCATATTGTTCATTACAAAGATTGAATCAATTGCTGCATCTAAAATGGCACGAATTACTAAAACCAGTTGATTTTTCTGACGTCAAATAAACTGAATATTAAAAGAATGTCGAGTATTGAAGAGAATTAATTGAAGTTTTTAATAGTTTTTTTTTTTCTTTTGTATAGATGTACTAGATCATTTTCTATTATGTAGAATCGAAGTGATTGATGAACATCGTGTTTATATAAAGTGTAGCAGCAATCTGTTCAATTTCTGAAAGAATAATAGCAGATTAAAAATAAACTAATGCATTTAACAACTAAACATTGATTTTTTTATTTGGCTAGAGAAAAGCAATAACTTAAACACATGCAAATCTATAGCGTTTCATTTAAGTGGAATGCAATACTATGACATAAAACTAAGTTCAATTCTCTACAAAACCATAGACAAATGTGTGCCATAGGAGTTCAAGCAAAAAAGGTATTACACAAATTATGCGAACATATGTCATAACCAACTTTCAAACACAACTACACAAACAGATTTGTGCTTTCTTCTCGCTAATGAAACACTGTTTAAATGTTTCAAAGTATCATTTGTGTTTAAACAATATGTTCAAATTTATCATGTGAAGTTCGTTTTTATTAGAACTTGAATCGAGAAGAAAAAAGCTTTTATTTGAAATTGAGTAGACTTCTATTGAACCATTTGGCAGCTTTTCGATAAAAACAAATTTTGCTTCGAAAAACTAATATATGGTTCAGTTGCATAAATTTCTCAAGAGTATGAAATACTACGATACGAAAATTCTGTTTTTCTTTTGTAAAAGTCTAAAAAAGTAAATCTTCTTTGTGCTAAACACATCTACACGATATAGTTTTTCAAGCTCTGTAAAACGGTTCGTTCCGCTTTTAACATATCTTAATTTGAGAACGCATTATCACAGAAACACTGAATTTTGTACTTGCAAATTATTAAAAGTACAAGTTCACAGTATTTGTACAACAGCTACTTTGCTTTTAGTTCTATGGTTTTGTAGAGAATTGAAAGTTGAGTGTTCTTGAGACGAAACTATTGTCCGTTACTTTTAAAACTGACAGAGATATTGACAGACTCATTTATTCTAATGCACTCATTTTATTAATGAAAATAATGATTGAGACTTATATGCCAAGGATAAATTTCAAAATAAATTGATATTAGTAAATTTTTATTTAATTATAACTGTTTTAAATGAATAAATTGATAGAATAAACAAAATAACATGTGGTAAAATCATCTTTAAGCAAAGTACATTTAGATCACGTAGAATAATTAATTCAAATGGATGAATAAAAATTTATTTTGTATAGTAATTTCATTGTCATTTAAATCAAAAACTGATGAAAAATCATCATGAACTTGATAAAAATATTCTTTTGTAACAAAATGAATGTGGATGATGTATTTTATGAGAAAAATTCGGTGAAGATTTAAATGAATATTTATTCATAATGTTAATAATAAGATTGTTTTGAGTATACATAGACTTCATTATAACAACATTTGCTGTACTGATGATGTCCGATAGCTTGAGTATATTGTTACATGTAATTATTTTCATATTCTATATATATATGTAATAAATATCAAACTAAAAATTTCTATTCAATCCATCGTTTTATGAATTTGATTTAAGGTATGGGAAAAAAGTTCGCGGCATTTTTTCTCTCGATATTTCTTTGCAACTACTTGAGTAATTTCAACAAATAAATAGTCATTTTAAAGAGTATTTCAAAGTGCACTTATTGTGTAAAAATAAAGGTTCTAGCTCAAGAAGTAATAGCGTCAATAAAGTAAATTTGTTACATGCGTTTTTGGTTCTCAAAAAACAACAGGTAGAGCAAATTAAACGGCCGCATTTTGCATTTCAATTTTTCATTACTTAATACGTTGTTTTATAAAAACAAAATGTGTCCCAAGATGCAGCGTGAAAAGCTCTACAATTTATATAGAAGAATTTATTTGTTAAAACCTCTCAAATAGTTGCAAAGATATATCAATAAGAAAAATGTCGCGAACTTTTTTCCCTTATATTAGTTCATCTACGATAAATAATTTGGTAAAAATGATTAGATAATTCGAAGTGAAAAGAAATAAAAATATGCAAAGTCATTGATATTAATATATATGATATAAGATTTAAATTAACATCAAAATCCATTAAATAAATAGAATAAATACGCATATCTATAACAAGTAGAGAAGCGAATAAGTAATAATTAATAGAACAGTTTTTTTTAATAGTTAATCGACAACAAACCATTATTAAAAGTACTCAAATTGGTATGCACATACTGAAGAGAAAATATCCGATTTCAATATTTCAAAATTTTTCTATTCGGATCGGAACTACAAATATCTGGTCATCGAATCCCTTATTCTAAGCTCCTACCGTTTTCCTGAGTTTTCCGACTGGAATCATTGACTCCGGAAAGGGGTCTTACAGAAATCAAACTGTTTGTTATAATATGTCCAACTATTTTGAAAAATGATACGTTTTTTTTTTTCATTTATATGTTTTTGAGTTTTTTCGTATAATTATAATATGATAATTATCTCATTCACAAATTAGATTTATTAACAATCAAATAAGAACTTCCAGACACTTTTTCAATCAGCAATACATAATTTTGACAAAATAATGCATTTCAATGGAAGCATTCAATTCATGTTTCAACAATGATACTTTAGTAAAACTATCTAAGTATTATTTCTTATGTATGAAATATTACATTCTCAAATAATGCTTTCATAAAACCCAGCAGGTGTGCTTTATGAGAAAAAGAAGTCCATTAACTAATGACAGTGTAATGTATGTATATATCATCATATCGATACATATTCTTTTTTTCCATCAAACATAAAATATTAATATCGTTAATTCTATGACGTATGCTTTCTCAAGTAAAACATGCGTTTTTTTTTCAAGTACTGTATAAATTGTAAAATAAATTATTCTATTCTACCAATAGCATACACTTTCTTACTATAGTTTCAACTGTCTTGTGATTTGCTAATCAATATTTAATGTCTATTATACAGTCAAATGATTCATAAGAAAGTTAAATATTTAATATGGAAAAAACAATAGTTTTTCAAATCTTTTAATAACTTGCCGCGTCGTAGTTTTAATAAATGTTTCAATTGTAGATTTTATATATTAATTAACATAAAAACTGAAAATTTTTCTATATGTGTTCTCTTTCATATATAGATCAATAGATATGAATTATATGGCTATAATTTTTCTTGTTTGTAAATTGCATACGTATAGACTGATTAGAGATTCTTGTCAGCGAAAAACAAAACGTATCTAATGACTATAAATAATGTTTACATGTCCATCGCTTTGCAAAGATTTAAAAGAAATATGTTCCAAGTATAACAAAATTCGTTGAGTTTATCGTTGAATAAATCTTCGATGTGCTTGAAAATGTTTGTCTACTGTAGTAATGCATGCATAATCTATAGAATGATAATAGACATCGTGTTGTACTTACATCGAGAGTAAATTAGAAATGTACAATATTCTCAGAAAATTTATTAATATGAAAATAATTGGAGTCAAAAAGTATGCGACCGACGTGAAGATCTATTCTATTAATACAAGTCGTCACAAATTTTAAGGTTTAGTGAATATCTAAAAAACCAAATCCTGTAGACGAATTTATCAAGTTAATATTAAACCGAAAAGAATCAAGCATAATTTGTATGTCATCTAAAATACACCATTATTGATATCATGTTTGCAGTGCAAATATGTATGAAAATATACGTCCACAAGAATAACTAAGGTAAACTTTAATTCTACACCGATATCTATGGAATGAAATATCGGCATATCTTTGCTCATGAATAGAAAAGACACATACAATTATTAAGGAATAAAACAGCAACAAACAAAAAAGCTATATAGGTATTAGAGTACAGTAAATAAATCGATGTGCTATACTTGAATCATTGATTAAATTTATAGGATAAATAAAATTACATAAGCTGAAATAAATATTGACAATCTTGCCATATGTTTGTTAATATTCGTATCAAAAATGAACACTAGATTGTAAAACACGAATAATTTCAATTACACTTATGTTGATAAAAATAAAATAACTTAAGAAAAGATTCATATCTTTTTGGGTTCACAATTAATAAATAGTTAATACGCCTTGATTTTGTTAACATAATTGACTAAGTTCAAAGCATCATCAAAAGTGAAAAATAAACATATTACACATTTTTTCACACCCAGTATATATGAGCTCTCATGAGAATTTATGAGTTAAACGTCGGACAGGATCACAAGTCCTGAGAGAAAACTTCTTGGATCAAAATTTCAGTCTTTCAATAGAAGACTGTACATGGACAAAGAATATAACTGAAAGGTAAACAGACTTCTCTGATGAAGAAATACGTTTTCATAAATTATATGCTGAATTAACTTCGTTTTCAAGATGAAAAAAGAAAATGAAGAATTAACATAAAGTTGTTTTTATTAAGTATCAAAATACACGATCATTACATCAAATTTACTGATTATTTTAATTCAATGGTAAGGTTCATCATTTCTAACCATTGAATAGAGTATTGCCAACTAAATGATAGATTAAAAACAACTAAAATGAACTAATTTTTTTACACTTTGTCTTCATTTTAATGAACGTATTGTTTAGAATTCAAAAGAATCAATAGACTTTGACTTTTTTTCCAACAGAAGAAAAACAATGATTACTTTAAAAATCAAAATCTTTTAGCCATGAATTATTTTCATAAATAGGAGATCAATAGGATCAAGATTGATAATATAATATCTGTTAAAGAACCGATTCTCACAAGGTAATTTAAACAAAACTACTATGTTCCAATAAAATGGTATCATATCTTCGCTTCAATGTTTCTGAATTGAACAAAAGTGTCCTTTCAAAAAAACAAAATTTCAATAAATTTTGATTATGACAATTTATCAAGTGGTTTTTTTCCTATATGCAACAAAGAACAAAATCAATTAATAACGAAAGAAATTATTATTGATATCTATATACA